AGCTTTCCTTCCCTGCAGAGCCCCAGTGGTGCCCTCATCATCCTCATCCTCATCTGTGGGTCCCCTCGGGGCAGAGCTGCTCCTGATTGCCAACTCCGCAGCGCTGCAGCTGGAGAGCCATCCCCATTCCCATCACCATTCCCATCCCGCTGGCAGCTTCGGGAGCTCCCAGGTGTTTTTTTCCCCATGTCACACCAAAATGTTGGGGATGTTCCTGCTGGTTTCAGCCTCCCCCACTCCCTCCCAGCCCGAGGTGGGCTCTGGGCTCGCGCTCACCCGCTGCCCTCTGGGCTGTTTGATCACTGGTGGGGACGGTAAAAGTCCCCCAGACTGCCCAAGTCTGGCAGCTCGAGGGCAGTTGGTCAATAAAAACACGATGTTTGTAGGTTGGTTTTGTTGGCTGAGAAATGATGGATTTTGCTGCTGGAATCGCGAAGGGAAGAGCCAGAGCCATCGGGGAAAGCAAGCAGGACCCTTGAAGACACCCACGTGCCCTCCCACGTTGAGACCATTTAACTACAGGCTAGCGCTAATTATAATAATACAATCCAATATTGTATAATTAAACATTATAATGAAAATATTACACTTTAATTGAAGGTGAGAAGTGGAAAACCCCCAGAGAAATCTAATCTCTGAACGTAGCTTTCCTGGAACCAGTTATTTTCCTGGGGTTGAGGGTGGCAAACACCCGTCTTTTCGGTGGTGCGCGGGGTGAGGCGATGGGGGTCCTGCGTGCAGATGGGATTTGCGGCCGGTGGAGACGGGCGGAGGTTGAACACCACTGGCTCACACATACTCACAGGTAACCCCCAGCCTTTGCTTTTCTGTGCAAATAACTGCAAATTAAATAGACACATTTAATGCCCCACCACATTGCTCCAGGGGAGGCTGAGCCGGAGAAGGGCTGTCTGTTTTAACAGGAATTCCCGCAGGGATGGCTGCCCTGGCTCGGCGGCTGCTCGGGGGAAGGGGGGGCCCGAAAGGGCCATCACTGCCCCATTGCAGCCGGTGCGGAGCCGGGGGCTGTGGGGTCGGGGTACGCGGGCAAAGCCTCTTCGGCCGGCCGGTCTGCCGACCCCGCTTGGCTGCAGACAGCGGCTTGTCGAGATGCTTCATTTCAAAGGATGCAACAATTTTAATGTTAATATTTTTGCCCTGAAGCTGAGCCGCTCTGTCACTAATTGACGGCTCCTCACCATCCGCTGGTGCCAAGCCTTCGCCCTGCATGCCCCGGGCTGCCCGAGGAGGTGTCTGTAGCTCTGATTTTCTTTTTGTTTGAGAGACAAATTTCTTTGCTTTTAATGCAGCGAGAGCATCTGCTCTGGGCTTTGCTCTCCAGCAGCCGGCAGTCCCTTCGCTCGTGGCAGTCACCAGCACGGGAGGATTTCTTCTCCGTTTCAGCCGCCGCCGGGTGAGACGTGTGGCCTCGCAGCCGCCCTGCGCGGGGCCGGAAGCCTCCCCGCGGCGCCGCTGGAGAGGCAAAGAAACCTTCCATCATTCATTTGCCTTTTTCCTGGGGATTTAGGCACTCGGCATACGATGCTTTGGGATGTTCCCATGGTCACGTGCCGTCCCGGGGAGCGGGACTGGGGCTGGATGCTGGATTTGGGCGCTGAGCTCAGGTGGGGCACCCCGTGCATCCCGCAGCGTCCCACCCTCGCCCGTGTGGCTGGGAGGAGGGTAACGGGGAAAAAAACCTGATTTTACAGAGCTGGAGGAGATGCTGCTCTCCTTCCACGCGTGGGACATCTCTGCTCCCCTTCTTCTTCCCACTGGGTCCCCCCAGTGAAGGTCGGGGACCCCCAGGCCCATGTGGGGGTGCACGGGGGGTCTGCGCTGAGCTGGGTCCTGTGCACAGCGCTGGCCCTGCGGAACGGGGTGCGACGGCCTTTTTTGGGGTGCTGCCCCGCACTCGCACCTTGGGGCGCATGGGGGGGATGTGCTAATTCACTACAGCAGTGAGGACGGGCAATTTGGGGTCCCTTGTCGGGGGGGTCGGGCTGCGGCGCTGAGTTGGGTCCTTCCTACACACCCCCTTCCCGCACCCCCCTCCCGCTGGGCATCAGCCCCCCTATAGCTATTGGGGAGCATCGTCCAGGGGTGGTCGCCTGCTCCGGGGGCAGGGGATGATACGTGGGTGGGTCAAATCCAGCCGCAGGGGAGCTCATGGCATTTCCCCGTGCCAACCCTCCGGGCACCGAGCAGGTCGTGGAACTGGTGAGCTGGTGCTGGTTGGTCTCTCCAGGGGCTGCTGGGCACGGGGGGGTGTTAGAAAGGCTCCCGAAGGCAGCGTCCATCGCCCTGCGGCTGAACTGGCCCAGTGTAGTGTTAAAATGACCCTGAAATACTGGAGCTGACCCGGCTCCTCCTCTCTATAGACGCCGTCTCTCCCTCTGTCCCGCAGCGCTGACCTCCCTCGCCGAGGAAATGTGAGCGAGGGCGATGGTTATCCCACAGCCCGGGAGCGGCAGGTAAGAGTTATAAAAGCTCTATAAATGTACGATTTCACCCCTCGTCTCATTTCTGAGCCTTTGCCAGGGCTGGAAGAAAGAAATATTAGTTTATCTCACTGATAGCACAGAATATTCCCTCGGCTGCCGAA